ATCTCTTAATATCCGGTAATTCACGCCTGCCCCTTGTGTCGTCATTACTATCCATTGGAAGCGCAGGAGTCCAGATTGCGTCAGGCCACAACCATGAGCCTGGACCGGAGTGAATGCTGTGGCAACTCACGTCGTTGGAATCGTATGGCGGTCTTGGTTTATGAGTACAGGATGATGCGACGATTGCATTTCTTCATACTGATCAGCAGCCTCGGTCCTACTTTTGGTTTCTGCGCTTTTAGAGCATCATCTAGTTGAAGTAGAACCCTTCGACGCATGTATTGGCTGTGCGCGAAGTGCTTTAGACTTTGCGATATTATAAGTTGACGGCGCTAGCGGGTCGCATCACGTCGGGTATCAGGGACAGGTGAAGACCATCGCTACCCTAGTGCCTACAACGGAGCCGCGATTCAACATATTGACATCCACAGCCGAAGCAAATATCTACATGATCGCACATACCTTCAACTTACAAAGTTAGGAAACAGCGACGGTCTTTCGGTTCCGAATCTTGCCAGCCGTCGATGCATGCGAACATGGCTATGGCAATGGCCAGGGTGTGTCATGGGATTTAGAGAGATATGGGAACATGTTCACGCCACTGCGACCGATCGCAGGCGACGTATTCCCTACGCTATTGCAACAGCATCTCGTCAAGCGGTTGCCATAGCTTTCATGCTTCTCCACTGGCCACCGCCTCTTTATGCACCTTCTCGCAGTACCTCTTTAGATCCTCGCACCAGAGGCCGACCTTGCCTTTCAGCGTGTCCTCGTACATGACCTTGACAAGCCGCGAAAGCATGCCACCCATGATTTCCCAGGTCCTAACTTCGCACTCATTCTCACCGGTGACGATGACCTCATGAAATCTTTCCAGTTTCATGCCAAACGCGTACATGCCTCCGTTGCCAGTCCAACTCGCCCTATATACCTTGGTGAGATCAGCCGTGAATGCTGGATCTTCAAGTTGTTCGGGCGTAAGGTACGATGTCGGCGACGAGGGGGTGCTGATGTCTACGACTTTGAGTGGTGTCAAAGTGACAGCGTCCGGTTTGTCTGCGTTCATGACGACGGTGAAGCGCATTGTGCAGCCGATGGTCATACGATCTTGGGCCTGGAGATATGTGTACAAAGTCAGCATCTGTTTCACGTCGCAGTCGTACGGCGTCATCGCTTGCCTTTCCATCTTGCGGGCCCTCGGGGGACGAGGGTTGTGTGAGGATTTCCGCGCGAGGCACCCAAGTGTTCCATGCCGGATAGTTGGCGGCGTGAAGGACTGTGTCGAAAACGAGCGGTGCCGGGGCGCGTACGACGGTCGAATAGGAAATCTGGAAAACAGCATTCTCTCGCGGAACGATCTTGGAAGTGACACCGTTAGACGGCGGCCAGGCTGCGGTTCCAGACATGGCGCAGTGAGTCGTTTGCGTGGATGCGCATGGTGAGCGGCACTGGGAGTGTTGTCACTTACGCCCGGCTGACGACCCGGGAAGTTGCTGACCAGTAGGCGCGCGAAGATGCCTTATCGATAAGAGCTGTGGTGTCGTTCACGTGACATCTCATGGAACGGCACCCGTTCGGCAATCTATCCGAACAAGTCGTCCATGTGTCCCCCACTTCTACGCGCATCTTGAGCCCGGCTGTCGATTTCTCCGCATGCCCACCGTCTCCAGGCGCATCAATCTGGTCTACATATTGTGCACGTCGGGCTTGTCCTATCCCGCAGCCCACAACAGCCTCATACTATCGATACAGCTTCTGTCTGAAGTATATCTGCTATAAAGCATCGCGCGGTTTCCTTGCGCGCCAAGTAGCATTGCGACGCGTGATCGTCTCGCCATGAGTTTTTGGCCGGTGGTGAATTGGAATCACACATTAGCCGGTTGCTGCACGAAAAGCAAAGGCTCTCGAGCATGGAGCTTCGCATTGGGAAAGTAAAGCGTCCGACTTGGAGAGTCTCCGATTCCTCGTCAACTTGGTCAAAACGTCATTGCACAGCATTGCCCTGTCACGCATCTTTGTCGGCAATTGAAGCGGCGGCTTCGGAACTCACGCCGACCAACAACTTTCCCAAGCAGACCGCGACTCGTTCCTCTACATATCAATGAATACCTCGCAGCTTTCGGCCACCGCAGTCTGGTCACACGGAACTCTTCGCATGCACTTTGGCGCCGAGTCTTGCATTGCAGAGCTTCAAGCAGCTTCTATAATGCTGTCGTCGACTCGGCGCAAGGCTTGGTGTCGGTAAGCTTCAGGCAAGTGCAGCGGCGTCTGTGCCGCTGGGCGGATTACCGCGTCTAGTAAGCCTTGGATCGCTCGACCACGGCCGCACAGGATTTTGCTTCGGCTAGCAAGTTTGAAGACATGGAATTCAGAAAGATCTGCACTACCGTGGTTGCATCTGGAGACGTTCCCGCCATCTAGCACTGCTGAGGGGCCGCCGTTCCAGCTATTGGGGCCCCACGGGAGCAGTCTCCACACCGTTGAACGACCACGCGCGCAGGCCACGATGTAACCTGGTTGAGCTCACGGCAGCATGCTATAAAGAGGTCCGGTCGCTCATGCGACGTCCGATGCCCGCGTTTTGAGCTCCAGAAAGCAGTGAAGCCTCCACAAGTATCCTCTCGTGGCTCTACACACCCAATCCTGGGTCCGACATCGCGCTACACCATTTCCGATCATGGACAAAATATCAAAGTACAATGTCGTTCATCGATATGAGAAGCGCAGCCTGCTCATCGCGTGCGTCTCCCTCGATGGAATATTATAGACTTCACTCACCGTGATACCAGGATCAATTGCATCGCCGGACTATCAATTCTGTTCTTCGGTTACGATCAAGGGATGATGGGAGGTGTCAATACTGCCTACGACTATTACACACTCATGGGCTTCGGCCACAAAGGTACGGATGGTGGTCCTGTTGTTGACGACACGTTGCTCCAGGGCGGCATCGTTTCAGTGTATTACCTCGGGACTCTGGTGGGCTGCTTGGTCGGAGGCTCCATCGGCGACCGCTTCGGACGCATCAAGACCATCTTCGTCGGAGCTGCTGTCGCGACTGTCGGCGCATGCTTGCAATGCTCAGCGATGAATCACGAGTGGATGATCTGCGCGCGGCTCGTCAACGGCTGGGGTACTGGCATTCTCAACTCCATCATTCCCGTCTGGGCCACGGAGACTGCGGAACATACCTCACGCGGTCAATTCATCGCCATTGAATTCACACTCAATATCCTCGGTGTTGTCATCGCATACTGGCTTGAGTATGCATGTTCCTTTTATGGCGACGGTACTTCGTCCTTCATCTGGCGCTTCCCCATTGCATTCCAGATCCCGATGCTCATGATACTCATGGCTGCCGTCATGTTCTTCCCGGAGTCGCCGCGTTGGCTTGTCAAGGTCGGTCGCGAGGCCGAAGGACGGTACGTGCTGAGTCGGCTTCGAGGCGACGCTGGGGAAGACAGGGAGAGAGCCGAGACTGAGTTCCAAGAGATTGTGGCTTCTTGCGAGTTGGAGCGCTCCAATTTCCGTAAGCAGAGCTACTTTCACATGCTATTTGGTATCGGCTCTGGCAAGCTGCATACTGGTCGTCGCGTTCAGCTTGTGGTTTGGCTCCAGATCATGCAAGAATGGGTCGGTATCGCCGGTGTTACGATTTATGCGCCAACCATCTTTGGCATCGCAGGCATGAGCCCAGCGAAGCGACAATGGATCTCAGGTCTCAACAACATCTTTTACATGTTCGCGACACTTATCTGCGTCTTCACTCTGGACCGTATTGGGCGCCGATGGACTTGCTACTGGGGTTCGGCAGGCCAAGGAATCGCAATGGCGCTCGCTGGAGGGTTCTCCTACCTAGGTCAAGAAGCCACAAAACGTGGCGATACCAGTGCGGCATCGTCATACGGCAATGCGGCGGTATCTATGGTCTTCATCTTCACAGCCATTTTCGGCGCAACATGGCTGACGGTCCCGTGGCTCTACCCCGCAGAAATCTTCCCGCTAGAGGTACGCGCAAAGGGTAACGCTTGGGGCGTCGTCGGCTGGTCCATCGGAAACGGCTGGCTCACGCTCCTATGCCCAATCATGTTCGAGTCGCTTGGGGAGAAGACGCTGTACATCTTCGCCGCGTGCAACGCGATTACGATCCCCATGGTTTGGGCACTGTACCCTGAGACAAACCAGCGCACGCTCGAGGAAATCGACCTGCTTTTCGCGTCGGATAGTATCTGGAACTGGGAGGCAGAGAAGAACTTTGCGGCGCTGCAGGAGACGCTTCCTTTCGAGGCTACATCGCACGCAGCGAAGAATGACATCGAGCGCGTTTCGTTGTAGAATTTGTGGTACTCGTATTGGTCAATGCTTTAGTTGTGTATGATCTACTCGAAGGCGAAGTCTAATTGATGTAGTTGATCTTAAGCTTGAGATCTCTTCTCTACCCGTCACTGAATAACCCTCTTCTATGCACTCAACGTTTTTCCTATACGAAGACGTGATTTCGTCTATACTATACATATGTCCAATCCTCCATGCGAACGCCATCATTCGATCCGGCCGCCATCAGGCGTCCTCCGTCAACAGTAATTCTTACGTTATTCATGTAACCACCCGCCGCCGAAGCCAAAAAGAGGCAAGGCCCAACGATCTCTGTTTCTGCTCCCGCTCGCCCAGCCGGGCATCGTGCCACTGCCTTTGCCGCTTGGGGATTGGACTCGATCAGATCGCTGGGATCAGGTTTCACAGAGGCGCCAGTCATCTCGGAAGGAAAGATACCTGGGAGAATCGTGTTGACCCGTATCTTGAAGCTGTTAAAAGATTCATCAGCACACAAAGCCTCTATCACTAGAACGGCAGACTTACGGTGTGAATCGCGAGGCGAGTAGACTTGCACAGTGCAGTGTCGCAGCCTTGTCATTAGTGTCGATCCGGCTGGGAGACGAGGTAAACTTACTTTAGATATTGGATACGACAATGCTCCAACTGTACTAGGATACAATCAGCTACAGCTTCGCAAGCAGACAATATGTGATGGCTTGCCGTTGTAGCATCATGCCTGCTATAGAGGCAATGACGATGACCGTTGGAGCTGGTGACTTGCGTAAAAGAGGAACCATCCTTGTGCTCATAAAGTAGACGCCGTTGACATTGATTGAATAGGTCGACTGGAAGTTCTCATCATCAAGGCCGTGCCACAACAATTTCTCGACTGCGTCGGGATCGTTGTGTCGACTGTCAAGCTCTGATGCTTCAGCTTTCCAAGGACGATTTATTCCAGCGCAGTTGATCAATACGTCGACATGGTCTTCAAGCTTCTGTAGCGCAATCACCACTTCATCGACTCTTTGTTTAGAGCCCACCTCGCCGGGTAGTCTTATCAAGTCAGCACTCTGGCCATGGTGAAATGGTCGTTTCGAGGTAAGGCACACGGTGGGACAGAATAGCTTACGATATGACACTGCCACGGCTCGCTGCATTAATCTCGTCTGCTGCTGAATTGAGGACATCGGCTCTCCTACCCACAATGTAGACCTTGGCGCCGTTGAACGCAAAACTGCCGGCTATGGGTAAGGGAATATGTGAGCAAGGCCTGACGCGACCACCGTCTAGGACTACATACCTTTCCCAAGCCCCGAACCTCCTCCGGTCACGACGACAGTCTAAGAATTTCAGCAGCTGTAGGTCTACGCTGCGACCTACACACCTTCCCCTCGACAGAAAACAGCGAGGACAAGCTAAATGATTCGAGGTCAAGCATCGCGGATGCTAAGCCAGATACTGGCTTATCTGACGGTGATGAGAAAACAAGAAGAATACCTCAAACAAGGGTGAGCGACGTTGTGACCTGTACAGCCCAGCCGAGTACCGCGACTTTGTGCCAACGTCATGGAGCGGGCCGGTGACCGGTCCGAATCGGTGTCGGATACGGCTCGGGCAGCTGAGTCCAACCACCATAAGTAACAATTTCCCGAATGTACAGAACGGGCTTACCATCGCAACAACTATCAAAACACTATTCGATTTGAAACATCCATCGAAAATGGGGTTTGCAATCGTCGAAGACCGCCCTATACCTCGTCAGTTCCTACCAATCCATTTCTAGATGTCGTATCAGTGTTAACCACGATACATACAGCCGAGTCCTACAATTGGCGAATCTACACACTCACGATCGTGGCATCATTTGGAGCTCTCACATTTGTGAGTGAAAAGAAATATCTGTATCGAGAGCCAACAAGCTAAGCTTTTGTGATCAGGTATACGATGGCTCGTTCTTCGGAACGACGCTCGCCCGAGTCAGCTTCCAGGAGGTAAGTCAATAACATTGCGGCGAATCTCTTTTACTTCTATAGCTGACGAGCTCAAGCATTTCGGCTTCAAGGATATGTCCACCTCTGCTCGAACATCCAACACGTCAAATATCACCTCGTCCTACCTCGCCGCGGGTTTCTTTGGATCACTCTTTGCTTGGCCATCCAGCGAGACGCTTGGTCGAATTCGGGCAATGCAGGTCAGCTGCGCTGTCTTTTTGGTCGGTGCTGTTCTCATGACTGCTACAACCTCGAGCTTGCCAATGATGTATGCTGGGCGAGCCTTGACTGGCTTTGGTGTGGGTGCTTTGACGGGTATCATTCCATCCTACTTTGCGGAAGTGGCTTCCACCGCTATTCGTGGACAGTTGACCGGGTATCTTGACGTATGTATACATCCCTACTTCCAAGATGTGCTGTGCTTATTTCTTCCCCCATCAGGTAGCATACCAAGTAGGCTCATTGGTCGGTTTCTGGATCAACTACGGCATCAATCAAAACATGGGAGTTGACGCGGCGATCACCTCTCGCATTCCCTTGGCCTTCCACCGCAGCTCCTCACTATTGCAATGCAAGCTTAGTACAGCTGCCCTCTCATGTATAAAGGGCCTTTGATCCATCGTCATCTCGTCAAAGCACTTCATTCAAATTTCAACAACAATACTTCACCAATACTCGAATCTTTCGCTCAATATGCAGCTTACCAAGTACCTCTCCGTTCTCGCCTTTTTGCCATTCTTGGCCGTTGCCAACCCACTTGCCGTCGAAGATGTCTCTTCTGTCAACCGCTTTCCTCTCGAAGCCCGTGGTGGCATCGACTTCTGCGGCAGCGACTTGCGCGTAGCCGGCAACTCTTGCACATTTGGCGGCGGCGAATCGGACCCGCATGCTTGTGGTATCAAGGACAGAGCCGTAGTGGTAAGTCATTGCATCGTATGAATTGGAGACCTGAGGTCTAACAACAGAAAGCTGTACTGCGTGAATGGCAGTTGGGCTATCAACCACCGCTGCGCTCAGGGCCAGCAGTGCATGCGCGACAAGGGCCCTCCCAAGCGACGCAATCTCGTCTGCCGATAGAGAGATAGCTACTTCTTATTTGTAAGCGTGGCTGGGCAGAGATTGAGATTTAAAGACTGCTATACTAGAGAAGCTCTTCTTTACCCATCTTTAACTACTTATCTACATGTCTTGAAGTTCCCAAAGTGTAACGGGCTCAAGGGAACCCAATGAAGCAGTATGAATAAGTTTGCTTGATGCATACCTCTACGCGTACTGAATTCTAAAGCTTACTGTTTCGGCGACATCGTAATCGCTATCCGTAGATGCATCACCAAAGATGTGAAGCGCCTTCACGAGGAACTTGTACGTGCCGCCTGGCGCAAACGAGCCGTCCGAGAGCTGCCCATTCCAGTCCCACCAAGATTGTCCACGTGGCACGTACTTTGTAGGGAAGTCGACGATGCTGCCCAGAGAGGACGAGTTGTTGCTGTCAGTGGTCAAGACCTGAATATCTAGCAGTGAAGTTCCGAATGCGAAATCAGTTTGGACCTCCGGTAATACGACGGTAGCGTTGGACGCAGTGTTTACCCTGGAGGGGATGGTGAAAGAAAAGTCAGCGGGGAGAGGCATAGCATCCGGATCATCAGGCCTCGTGAGGTATGTGTTGTTGATGTTGAGGACGGTCGCTTCAAGCATGCTGCCAACAACGCCGAGGTAAGGAAGGCTCAGAGAGTCACCGTTGGTGCCATTGAGCGTGATGTAGCCGCTGAACACGGGGAGACGGGTTGCATCGAGCGCGGGCGGTGAAACCGTAACGCTGACAGCGACCTCGCTTTTGGCGGAGACAGTGACCTTGTCATCGCTAAAGGATAGCTCAGCACCCTGAGTTACGAGCTCGTTGGGGAAGCTCATTGGAAAGATCGTGCCCTCTTCGAGAGTGTAACCGGACGCAGCAATCACATTGGCCATGCTGTATGTAACATCTTCGGTGCCAGTGTTGGTAATGGTGAAGTTCGTGGTTCCAATGCGGTTGTTGGTGTCATTGAAAGAGACACTGGAAACGCTTAAGACAGTCTTCGTGTACGCGGCGTCATAGGCCTGGATGAGACCACCGCCTTGCTGAGCGATGGGAGCAAGATAAGTGTACGTGGTACTACCGTCATTGAAGAGATTCGGGTTTGCAGTCGCAGAGAGAACGCTTTCAAGCTCTCTAGGGTCGAACGTCCCACGGACCTCTGCGACTAGCGCGGTAATAGCAGCCGCAAGTGGAGTTGCCATAGAAGTGCCAGAGAGCACAGCATAGCTACCAAGAGCACGCGGCCAAGTGGACAAAATTATACCACCTGGTGCTGCGATCTGCGGCTTGACATCGATCTCGAACGTCGGACCCCAGGGTGTGGTCGTACTAAGGAATCCACCGGTAGCGTTATTAGATGATTGAGCGACGAATACCGGAGCGATAGTGGGGTCCAAGATATTGACGGTGACAGTAATTCCAGCCGCCAGATTAGCAACCCACTCTTCACCCGTCTCGCGGGGCACCATACCTATAGCAAGGATGCCATCAACTTCTTCAACAGAAACACCGATTACTCTGCTCGGAGATTAGGAACTAGCGCGATGCATAAGCTGAATTTATCCGTATACGCACGTCTTGACATTGCTGTACAGCATGATGTATCTGGCTCCGGCATTTGCGGCATTGGTTGCCTTCTCGACAAAGGTGCAGGTTCCTCTGCGGATCAGAACAACGTATCCGGACAGATCGGGAGTGCCAGCTGGGTACGGATCGCAACCGTTTGCAGGGTCGGTAGGATCATCGTTTATGTTCCACAATGGGAGACTGATGTTTCCCCAGTTCGCAGGGGAACCGTAAGTCCATCCGAAAGGTTCGGGTGGCGAGCTGGCCGACGAGTTGCCTATAGTGTATGTCGCGTTCATTAAGAGTTGAGGAATAACGATGTTATCGATGGCAGCGACCGCCGTTACACCCTTGCCATTTGATGCCGTGCTGGTGTAAAACAGGCCTTTGTCGCCTTCATTGGAAGCAGAGAGAAGACACGGTACGCCTTGATCGACGATGCGCGAGACAGCAACGGCCCAAGGGTCTTCAGTCCAGCCTGAAGAGTAGCCCATTGAACAGGTGATGATATCGCTGCCGTCTTCAAACGCTTGATTGAATGCAGCAATCAGAACATCATTGGCCACCCGACCAGTATTACACGTGTAGGTTCTGTATGCACCCAGAGTGACGTCAGGAGCGGCTCCAGTGAAGCCCATGGAGTTGGCTTGAGCGGCGACAATGCCAGCAACGTGCGTGCCGTGGCCTACGCACTCGTCCATCGGATCGTCGTCCGGCACAGGGGTATTGGAGCCGTCGTAGTCGTCTCCCACCAGGTCAGCTCCATAGGAAACTAAGTAACCTTCACCAAAGCCACCGCCCAATGCAGGGTGCAGGTAGTCAACCCCGGAGTCAATGATCGCAATCTTGGTGCCCTTCCCAGTGATACCCTGAGCACGGAGCTTGTCGACTTGCGTCATAGCATGGGTCGAGTATGTATCGCTGGTGTTTTCGCCTCCCTGCCGCCTACGGAGCGCGCTCTGACCCGAACTTCTATCCTGGCCTTCCCAGACAATTTCGTTACGAGGCCGAGCTTGAACGCGAACTGGCCAAATTTGCTTGACCATATCCATTTCTGCAATCTTGGCCGCAGCAGCATTTGCATTAGACACGTTCTGAAGCTGGAACGAGATTCCTTTGAATAGCTTGTAGTTGAGATTCATGCGGTGCTCTATACCACCCTCATCGATTTCGAGTGTGTTGTAGAAGGAGGCGGAGTCCTACATGAATTAGTTGATAAAAGAATAGTGAGAATGTCGTCGTGTACATGGCTTGCCGCTAGTTCGACAATATAAGCACCTGTGACTATCTGTCCAGTAAGCTCTTTCGGGGATGCCGCGGCAGTGAAAAAGAATGTGCAACCCAGGATGGGGATGCAGCACCTCCAATGTACCATAGTGAGCAGTGCGGCAGAACGAAACAAAGAGCGACAAAAGTCCCAGAGGCCCAGGCAAGAACGAACAAGTTTAGTGTGGCAGTTGTATCGTGCTTATTTATCCATAGAGCTCGGCAGAAGCGACGCAACGCGCCATAACGCCGCTACGGTCCGGATCGGATAACCATACTATGCCAGGTGCGTTCTACATGATCACACCCGGTGAAAAAGGCGTTAATAAAAGGCACAAAGGACACAGACGGCCTCGGTGAGATATCTATACCTGGATCGAGACGGTAGGCCAGATCAGGAGGTATTTACGCAAGGGTAGCCTGAAGGATCTTAAGATTAAGATACAGCATGGGCGTCGCCAAGATGCGCTTCATTTGTTCCTCGTTGTTTCATATGCAGGTACCCTCAACTTACCGATCAGACGGGTCAAGCACGAGACAGAAGTTAATTGGAGGACCACTATGTATGGACTCAACCTGCCCCGTTCAGATATCTGGTGCTAGTGACGGTGGATGTGATGATCCCAAAGGACGATGAGGCCATCGGCGCCGATTCAAGGATTACTGATCAAGTGTTGGGATGAGGTACACATAATTCTTGCAGTCGTGGCCAAGATGTTGCATCTGATGCACTAGGGTCGAATCCGCATTCACGGAGTCGGCGAAAATCCCACGGCCCAAGTCGATCTAGGATGCGATATGCAGTCCAACACTGTTCACAACTAGGAGTCGTTGAATGCCTGTTCTTAGAAGGCATTATTGATTGCCGCTCGGTAGTGCAGATGCTACAAGATCTTTCGTGAGAGATCATGGCAGATCTCGCTATTCTTTCGTAAAATGAAGGTCTCTGCAGATCCGATCAACCCGATGAGAACAGGAAGCGGATAAGTCATTGCAATTGCTCAACTCCGGGTTGAAGAACAGCTCAAGACATGAGCTGCTCGAGGGCGGGTGTATACTGCTCATCCGATGACGAAGATGGATAGTAGGAAGGAGGATGATCAACTTCTTCCCCGTGTATTTTGCAAGTTCAGTGTTTGTGCGTGCCACCTCAATCGCTTGGCGTGCTCTTGAATGAGACGGCCCGTGATAACGGATGCGCTCGGAAGTTTGAGACTGTAATCGTCTGTAAAGAGCTAGCAAGTTGCCGGCGCGGCCGGAGACGGGGCCACTGCGGGTATCTTGGCACGATCCGAGCGTCAGAAGCCACAGTCGAGCTGATGCTGTCACTGCGGCTAGTTCCTGTGATATTTTACGGCTGCTCGCCGGGTTCTAGAGCTCGTCAGCGAGTGTTCAGGTGCTTAGAGTGCTGCAACACATCATAGTGCGGCCGCTGCTGCTATCGTTCTCGCTGTGAATACGGTGCCTTGTGTGCCATCGACGAAGTGCCATGTTAGCGCCTATGTCATTGGACTACGCAGGGTCACGACCGTGCCGGGTGCGTGGATGAAGGCAGTGGAGACGAGGGGTGAGGCTGTCTGGACGATTTCTGATCACGTCGTGGCAACAGTGTTCACGGACTGGAGCCACCAAGAGATGCTTCGTGGTCGTGCGCGTAACTCATATTCGCGGAGTAAGCAGCTGGTTGTTCTATCAGAGCTTTCGTAAAATTTTGGGAGAACTTGATTACTGAGCTTGTTCCGCGTCCCCGCACGAGAATGAGTAAGAGAACGCGAACTTCCCCGCACGGTAGCCAACGCGACGTTCCACCAATAAGAACGCGCGCGCAACATTACTTGCCCTCTGAATGTCGCTGACGACACTGTGAAGCAAGACAAACAGTACCATTGCATTGGCATGAGCGCGGAGCGATACAGACATGCGGCATCGAAATGCGAGGCGATTTATGAAGGATGACCAGCGGAGTAAGAGAGCGCGAACTTCACTTGAGGGGAACGCACGCGACATCGCGAACCCGCCGAACGTCACGACTGGCACTACACAGCAACACGAGCAATACTATTAACAGGAACGCTGAGCAACACAGGCATGCTTCTATTGCCGCAAACAAAAGCTTTGCTATCTTAGTAGTAGGCTATACGTGCAATACGTTAAGGGAAGTAAAAAATATAATTTTAGCTAAAAGAACGTAGGTAACGTCACTTATTATTTGAATATTACTATTAACGCTATATAATATATATAGCACTATTAATAACAATATTAAGCAACATAAGTATACTTCTAATGCTGTAAATGAAAGTTCCGCTGCCTTAGTAGCAGGCTATGCGAAAGATGTGTTGAGGCGAGTAAGGAATGCGATTTTGGCAAACCTGGACAGGCGTACCTACCCTAGAGGATGTGCGCGATTGCACTACAATCGCGCTGTGTTGTTAGTAGCGATAAGAGAGCGATAAGAAGCGAGGCGTAGGATCGCGGTAGTAGGATCGCGGTTAGCTAGCTACGCTACTAAGCTGGCTATAGAAGATCGAAAGAAGCTATTTTGTGCAGATTTACGCTAGGATTTCAGATCTTTACTCGGTTTATCGATAGCTGCTCTCGTTGTTGAGATATCCGCGTTCAAAGGTATAGTTTGAGTTTTAGTGTTCCTCACGTGACTACAAGCTACACAGCCACTGTTGCAGCGCTCTAGCCACACAATTTGATATAGAATTACGCCACAATTTCAAATCTGTATCTAGTTTGTTGATAACTGCTCTACTTATAAAGATATCAATATATAACGTTGTAAACTACTAGACCTTGCGCAAACTACTAGACTCTGTGCAAACTACTAGACCTTGCGCAAACTACTAGACTCAAAATGTTGCGATATCGATCGGTATACAGCTTGTATGAGCC